TCAAAAGCCTTACACGCAAGGAAAGAGTAGAGTGAAATATTTAAAGTGTTGCGAGTTAAAAAACCACCAACCTAAAGCTGTGTACCCTGTGAAATTATTCTCTAAAGGAGAAATAAACACTTTCTCAGACAAAAATTGAGGACGTTTGTCAATAGACCTGCTTTGCAAGAAATGATAAAGGAAGTTCTTTAGAGGGAAAAAAATAATATAGGTCAGAAATGATATAGCTCAGATCTACGTAAATGAAGAGCATTAAGGATGGAAGCAGTGAAGCTAAAATAAAAGCTTTTGTCTTATTCTTATTTGAGGTAACAGATAACACTGTTCAAATTTATAACAACAGCACTGCCTTCAATTACATATGCATATATATTTACATATGCCCATGTATAAGTGAAATGAATGACAGCATTGATACAAGGGATAGGAAGGAGGAATAGGACTATTTTGTTATTTAAAAAGTACTTGAACATGGTATAGTGTTATTTGAAAATGATCTTGAATTAGCTGTAAAAGTATATTGCAAACTCCATGGCAACCACTTAAAGTAAAAAAAGATGTACAACTGATATACTAAGAAAGGAGAGAAAATAGAATTATATTAAATGCTCTGTTAAAACCACAAAAGGCATAAAAAGAGGGTACAAAAACAGGAAATGAAGAACAAGCACAACAAATAGAGAACAGTAACAAAGATATTAACCCAACTACAACAGTATAATCACGTTAAATGTCAGTTAAAAGATTGTCACAATGGATCCAGAAAGAAAGAAAGAAAAAAAAAACCCAAGATCCAAATTATATGTTGTCTGCCAATAACCGAGTTTAAATATAAAGACATATATATATTAAAAGTAAATGGATGGAGAAAGATATGCCACACTAACATTAAAAAAAAAAAGAGCACGAGTTACTAAATTAATTTCAGATAGAACAGACCTCAGAGCAAGAAAAGTTATCAGAGACAAAGAGGGGCATCATATAATGATAAAGGAGTCAATTCTCTGAGAAGACCTAATGAATTCTTAACCTTTATGCACCTAACAACAGAACATCAAGATACATGAGGCGAAACTGATCAAAGTGCAAGGAGAAGTAGATGGATCCTCCTCACAGTTGGAGACTTCGACATCCCTCTATCAAAAATGCACAGATCCAGAAGTGAGATCAGTTAAGAACATAGTCAAACTCAATAATCCCATCAGTCAATTGGATATACTTGGCATCTATAGAAAGAAATGCCACAAGTTTTTTTGAAAGCCACTCATCATTGTAAATTGAGATTAACAAATAAAAGAAATAAAAACATTAGAAAGTACAAAAAGTGAATGGGAACATATGGTCTTGTTCACTTGATGAGGAAATACAAAAAACTCGTTTATGTTATATTTTTAACAAATAAGATGAGATAACACGATGCTAGAATGAGATTTTGGTAACGGCCTCAAATAGCTTCAATGTCCTAAACAAAATAATGAGTTGGATATAATTGTGTATTTCTTCTTCCAGTAACCACATTTTGAACTGTTTTATCTATCAGATTTCCTGAAGAAATCTAAGAGAAATATTTTTCACTTTTCTTGCTATTCTGCATTTAATGGCTATTAGGTGCTGAAGAAGTCACAAGATTTTCCGAGTGTGATCTATACAAACTTTAAAATCTTTCTATAAAGTTTGTATTGATCACACTTGGAAAATCATAAGAAATAAAAGAATACACAGAATATTATGTCCACTGATTATATCAAATAAACAGATCCCACTAGTCCATAGACCTAGGAACATGAGCTAAAGGCACATGCACACCAGGTTTTTAAATTTATATACATTTAAGGGGTACAAGTCCAGTTTTGTTAGATGGATATATTGCAGAGTGAGGCCAGCGCTTTTGGTACAACCATCACTAAATTATATACATGCATACCCATCAAGTAATTTTTCATCCTTTACCCTTCTCCAGTCCTCCCAATCCTTCTAAGTCTCCAGTATCTACTAGTCCACACTCTATGTCCATGTGTATATATTATTTAGTTCCCACTTATGAGAACATGTGGTATTTGACTTTCTGTTTGTGAGTTTTTTCACTTAAGATTATGGCCTCCAGTTTCATCCGTGTTGCTGCAAAAGACATGATTTTGTTCTTTTTTTATGACTGAATAATGTTCCACTGTACATATATGCCACAGTTTCTTTATCCAATCATCTGTTGATAGACACCCAGGTTATTCCATGTCTTTGCTATTGTGAATAGTGCTGCAATAAACATACAAGTTCAGGTATCTTTTTGGTATGATTTATTTTCCTTGGGTATATATCCAGTAGTGGGATTGCCAGATGGACTAGTAGTTCTATTTCTTGTTCTTTGAGAAATATACATACTGTTTTCCATAGAGCTTGTACCAATACACATTCCTAGCAACAGTGTATAAGTGTTCCCTTTACTCAGCATCTCCACCAACATCTTATTTTTTATCTTTTTAATAATGGCCATTTTGATTGGTATACAATGATATATCATTGTGGTTTTAATTTGCATTTCTCTCGTTAGTGATGTTGAACATTTTTTCATTTGCTTCTTAACCATTTGTCTTCTTTGGGAAAATGTCTATTCATGTCCTTTGCCCACTTTTTAATGGGATTGTTATTTTTATGAAACTTTATTTGCAATAATGTAGATGAATCTTGTGACACAGTGAATAAATGCATCACAGCAAATTTAATGTAGGTTAGTTGTCGAGACTACAAATTGAAGCTGGGTTTTTTAGATCTTTAAATACACCTTTGTGTTTAGAACCTGCATATGCGATATCTTACTTCCCAGATATTGATCCTAAACCTCAGGCAAGCTGCCACCAGAGGGTGGTAGTGTGCTGCCATCTTTTTGTTACAAAGGCAACCTCAGTATTTCTGAGTTTCAAAATGGTGACAGCAAGCTCTTTCACAAGATGTGACTTACAGTCTTTTGTTTGTTTTGTTTAAACAAACATAAAATGACTAATTCTTTGGGACATTTAAACTTACATTTCTGTCATACATTTTTTTAAGTTAAGAAATACTGACTTATTTCCTCTAAAAGGAATGTATTTTTCTATTTTTAATTATCATAATCCTATTCCATCACACATGGTTGATCATTTTTATTTTCCCTAGTATCTTTTAATAAACTTATTTTAAATGTGTATGCATGGTTGAATCCATTTTTACCTAACGATTAATTAAAATATTTTCCTAAGTTGCTGAACAGATTTGATAATTAATAATAGCTATTTTCAAGGTTTTCTATTGGGTGGATGTATCATAATAAACAAATGTTAAATATTATTTGTCATATGCCGAGCATAGTCTGTGCCAGGTGCTTTAAACATATCACATCTAAAATTCACAACCTTGCTAAGTGGGAATTGTTGGTTTGATTGTACAAATGAAGAAACTGAGGAGTTCAATAACTTCCAAAGTCACAGTGAAAGCTAAACTGGCATACGGATACAGTTCTGGCTACAGAGGTTCAGTATCAAGATATTTCTGGAATGCATTACTTAAATATCCCACAATTTTTTAGAGTTCAGATTGCTTCCAATTTTTCATTTTTATAAATATCATAAACATCTTTATACATTACATCTTTTTCTCTCCTTCTGGGTTATCACTTTCACATGGGATTACTGGGGCAAAATCATGTTTTTGTTTTTGTGCCTCCTGGTATGTATTAACTCCTAACCTTTCGCACTCATATTAAAACTTGGCTGGGCATGGTGGCTCATGCGTATAATCACAGCACTTTAGGAGGCCAAGGCGGGCAGATCACGACATCAGGAGTTTGAGACCAGCCTGGTCAACATAGTGAAACCCCACCTCTACTAAAAATACAAAACTATTAGCCAAGTGTGGTGGCGGGTGCCTGTATTCCCAGCTACTTGAGAGGCTGATGCAGGAGAATCACTTGAACCTGGGAGGCGGAGGTTGCAGTGAGCCGATTGCCACTGCACACCAGCCTGGGCAACAGCGAGACTCCATCTCAAAAAACCGAATAAACAAACAAACAAAATTTAAATCTGACATTTTTCAGCTTTCCTGACTAAGGGGTGCTTTGACCTCAAAGCTCCTTAGGATTTACTTCCTTTCTAAAGCAAGAGAGTCCTAACTGAAATCATGTCAAAGGTTTTTGGTTTTAAGCATCTATGGGTAGAGAGATAATGCAGGAGGAAGCCTGACATGCTGACATGTGTGAGAGGCATCATTCACCACAGGAGTAGAACCAGCATGGATGGGTGAAAGTTGCAAGAAGGTAGGTTTATGAACAAATCCAATTATCATTTAAGTGTAGGGGCATTCCAAAGTTGGAATGATGGGAGGCTGAGAGCTTCCCATCACTGGAAGTGTTTACGCATAAACTGAGTGATCACTGAGAGAAGACTCAGGTGACTGACCTGCAGTCAGGGCTGAGAACCACCTTTGGAACCCACAGTCCTCTACCTGTAACGTGAGTCAGAATCACATAAGCAAATGTCACTTAGGGTCGGGGGTGGTAGGCTTGGACAAAAATCATAATCATTACTTTTTGGGTGGGATCTGTCTTTCAAACAAATATCTCAGGTGCTTCTCTTTGAGTTATGAGAAACACATTCTGAGAAACCTGCTCTAAGCTGGTTTAAGATATTTGTTGCCACAGAAGAGCAAAGATATTTTTTTAAGTTAAGGTAAAATCTGTTGTAGCTGTTTTTCCTCCTGACTAGTCCTGAGTACCTACATGCCCCTCTGTCCCATTCTAATTTTCTGGAATTCCAGATGCACTGCCAAGATCATTCCTCCTTTCCTTTCTTACCAGATCTGCCATTTCTTGATTCCAACTTTGCTGTTATCACTGGACCAACAATGAAAAACGACTAATAATCCCTGACTGTGCAATAAAGATCACAGGAACCAGCCACGGGAGAGCAAACTGTCACTAAGGTCAGGGTCACATCAGGACAGCCCTGCACATGTGCAGCCCGAGTGTCCCCACTCTCTGTGTTCACAGTACAGCAGACAGTGCCAGCTGAACACAGCCGTGTTTCCCCCTACTGACCAAGGCTGGTCAGAATGAGTGAGAGTGAGCGTGAAAGACATAAAGTATTTGCTGTCCAAATTTTAGGAATTATTAGAAAACAGGGAAACCCCAAAAGGTAACCAAGTCAAGGCAAGGCAAAGGTTGAAGAGAGTACTGAAAAATCTTCTCAAACTGTTTAGAAAGGTAAGTACTCCTGTTTTGTTTCAAAAAATAGTTTAACAGTAGTTATTTAATTATTTTTTATTTACAACGTATTCATTTAACTTTAAATAGATTACCTATTATTTCCTGAACTGCATGCTTATCAAGTCATAAATATTAACCCAGAAACAGCAAGTACTGTAACATAGATTTAATTACTAACCAATCACCTAATTGGATTTATTAACATTTATCAAAAGAGTTATGTTATGTGAACACACACACAAAAAAAATTGAAAAAAAAATTACACAGTAAAATCCTTTCCCTAGAGTATTTGAACAATATGTTGTTCTTAGTAGTTGCCAATGATTCAGAAGTTCCTGAAGATATTGGGGTGGAGGAGTGCCAGTTATTTGGGCTTCTATTATCTAGACATTCAATGTGAGTTTGTTGTGCTGGTCTGACAAATATCATCTGTATATGTGGACGAATTGTTCTCTCTCATTGACTTCATCTCTTTATTTTTATGTGGGGATGGAAATATCTACTTTTTCCAGGGGGAAGGAGGTCAGTGGGAGGGTGTTGAGGGAATTTGTTTCTGTATCGTGTACAGTCATGTGTCTCCTAACAATGGGAAATGTTCTGGGAAATGCGTCATTAGGCAACTTCATCATTGTGTGAACGTCATACAGTGCACTTACACAAACCTACATGGTGTAGCCTACTACACATCTAGGCTATGCAGTATAGCCTATTGCTCCTATAGACCTGCATAGCAGGTTACTGTACTGAGTACCATAGGCAATTGTAATACAATGATAAGTATTTGTGTATCTAAACAAAGAAAACACACAGTAAAATTTTGGCATAAAAGATAGAAAATGTTTCACCTATATAGGACACTTACCATGAATGGAGGTGGCAGGACTGGAAGTTGCTCAGAGTGAGTCAGTGAATGAGTGGTGAGTGAATGTGAAAGACTAGGACGTTACTATACCCTACTGTAGACTTTATAAACGCTAGACACTTAGGCTACACCACATCACTACATTTATAAAAGATATTTTTCTTTCTTTGATAAATTAACTCTTTTACTTTACAGAACATTTTTTTTAGCTTTTAGCTTATAACACAGCTTAAAATACAAACACATTGTAGAGCTGTATAAAAATGTTTTCTTTCTTTATATTCTTATTCTGTAAGGTTTTTAAATTTCTTTTTACTTTTATAACATTTTTGTTAAAAACAAAAACATAAACACACACATTAGCCTAGGCCTACACAAGGTCAGGATCAAAGTCACTATGTTTTACCTCCACATCTTGTCCCACTGGAAGGTACTGAGGAGATGTTATCCCCTATAACAACGCCTTTTTCTGGAGCACCTCCTAAAGGACTGCCTGAGGCTTTTTTACAGTTAACATTTTTGTAATAAATAGCAGAAGTACACTCCAAAAAATAAAAATAAAACGTATCGAACACAAATACGAGGCAAAAGTAATTTTCAGCTTCATTATAAAGTTATGGGACCACCATCGTATATGCAGTCCATTGCTGACTGAAACACCCTTCTGTGGTGCATGACTGTGATACTAAATACGTCATGCCAATGAAAAGCACAGCTTGTAATTGTTTCCTGGTATTTCCTTTGACATCACCATTGTTTTTATGAAAATAAGCTTGTTAGTTCTTGAGCTGTTAATATTTGAGAATGCAAGGCAACCTGCTCAAGCTTAAGAATGATACATTATAAAGTCAAAAAGAATAGACACTAAACATTTCTGCAAATGTGCATTTTGAATGTTCTTATTCACCGTAGGCCACTATGCATTGTCCCCTTCACATCTCAGTGAATAATTTGCCTGTCTACACCTAAAAGGCAACAGTTCTGGTTTTTGTTTTTGTTTTTTTTCTCTTGGCAGGAATAGTTGGAAATTTTAAACAATTTAAATATCAACTGGCTTATGTTCTTCTTACTCTTTCATGAAAATGTCAAGCATTCATATTTTCAATACTAATGAACAACCACCAATTGTTTTAATTTCATTATTTTCTCAACTGAAAGAGCACAGAGAGCACAGACATAGCTGGGCTTTCTTTTTATAGATCTCACTGGTAAGCCTGAAACAAGTTTAGATTGAAAGACAAAAAACTCCCATTTTCCCCCCTGAATAGGATCTCTTGATTAAACTGACCTTTATTCACACCCCACCCCCAGCCACCTCCGGTGAAAAGATAGGCCCCAAAGAGCAGATTTCAAACCTAGGGCTTACAAGGTCTTTGAGAGGTCGCTCAAGTCATTTGCTTATCTCTAGGCAGGACTGAATTATATTTGCACTGTCAGAAATCTACCTACTCTTAAAAATAGCCAGAGAAAGTTCTGCCACCTTAAATGGTAACAAACTCCAGGAGAAATGGTTTTGCTTTCGCTCCTGTACTCAGGCACAGCACACAGCACACCACAGCAGAAAGCTTGAATTGCAATCATTTTCAAATTCAATCTAAATCGTATGACTTGCTGAACAAACTCTTCCACTGACTTGCTACTCCATGGGAGGAATGTTAGAGGAGGTTGTGAAAGTAACATTTCCCTTTTAAGCACTTAATGTCTGCTTTAGTTCACTAAAGGACATCCTCTAAATTTGGATAAGTAAATGTGTCTTCCAAAAGGATATACCTTTCCTCCCTGATCCTGGGGAACAGCCTAGTCATAGGAGATGAAGTTTACATATGTGGTTCTGTTGCTGCTATCTTAGAAGGATAGAGTGAGCCAGATGAGATATGACCTCAGCTCATGATGACTTGTTTAGAAAATGCATGTGGAGAGCTACGCTCACCTTGCAGATTGATCTGCCACAGTCACAGGATAAGGGGCCACAGCCAGGGCAGAAGAAGGGAAAGGGAGTGCTAAGAACTTGTTTTGTGGAGTGTGATCTTTGGCTGCAGCTCTCAATACTATGGCTTTCCTGCCATGAAAAACACAGCAGGGATCTCTGTCACTTGAGGTTTTTTTTTTTTTTTTTTTTTTTTTGAGACAGAGTCTTACTCTGTTGCCAGGCTGGAGTGCAGTGGTGCAATCATGGCTCACTGCAACTTCTGCCTCATGGGTTCAAGCGATACTCGTGCCTCAGCCTCCCAAATAGCTGGGATTACAGGCATGCACCACCACATCCTACTAATTTTTGTATTTTTAGTAGAGACAGGCTTTCACCATGTTGGCCAGGATGGTCTTGAATGCCTGACCTCGTGATCTACCGGTGTTGGCCTCCCAAAGTGCTGGGATTACAGGTGTGAGCCACCGCACCTGGCCGTCACCTGAGCTTTAATTTGAGAAGAGTAATCTTGTTCAGGGACTCCCCATTCCATTCTAAGGATTCAAGAGAACTAGGCTTGCAATCATTGTCACATTGCTATCTCACACTCCTTCAATCACCTCCAATCTGATTTTTTCTATTTATGCGGAAACAACTTTGCTCCTATCTGTCTTCAGTGTGCTGGAGAGAATCGTGGACTTACCTATTTAATCTGTACTGATTATGGAACTCTCTTTCCTTTGCTGCATTATATTCATTTTGATACTTGAGAAGTTGCTCTCTCATTTTGGAGACCTCCGTGGAGAATGCTTCTGGAAAATTATCAGCTTGCTGCACATGAAACTGCTGCTGTTGTATTTGCTCAGTGAAACGTTTGGCGTTCTGTAGCAGTTGGACCTCTGACTCCTGTGTGCTGGGTTACATGAAAAACAGAGACTCACGTAATGAGACATGTACACCCCCGGTTCCCTTAGTGGCTCCTGTCAGCGTCTAGTGAGGACAGCTGCCCCCCAACTCCTGGGTTCAACTCAACTCTGACATTATTGTGTCAAGTCAGTTGACTCTTCAGGTCCGTGAGTCCATGTCTGTGGATTCAACCAACCATAATGGGAAATTTTTGTTAAAAAATTGTGTCTGTTTCACCTTTGTGGTATTCTTCTCCAAAACAGTTAACTCTGGTCTAAATATGAGAAAAATTCTAAATTGAGGAACGTTCTACAGAATACCCAACCAGCACTCTTAAAACTGTCAATGTGATTTAAAACACAAGGAAAGATAGAGAAATTGTCATGAGGAGACCAAGGAGACACGAGGACTAAATATACTGGGGTCTACTGCATTGGGTCCTGGAACAAGAAAAAGAACTTTGGTGGAAAAACTGTTGAAAATCTGGAGTTTAATTAATAGTCATATACGAATGTTAACTTCCTAGTTTTGACAGACCATAGTTATGTAAGATGCTCACATTCGAGGAAAATGGGTGAAGGGTAGATAAGAACTTTGTATATTATTTTTGTAACTTTTCTATGACTCTAAAATTGTTCCAAAATAAAAGGTTTAAATTGTTTCTTTACTGAACATGTACAGACTTTTCTTGTCATGATTGCCTAAATACGGTATTTATATAGCATTTACATTGTACGTCGTATCATAAGTAATCTAGAAATGATCTAAAGTATACAGGAGAATGTGATTAGGTTATATGCAAATATGACATCATTTTATATATCATGGGACTTGAGTATCCATGGATTTTGGTATCTGCAGGAGGTCCTGGAATCAATCCCCCATGGATGATTTTGTTATCTGCAGGAAGTCCTGGAATCAATCCCCCAAGAGATGACTGTATGATGCTGGGTACAAGAGGTGAATAAGGCTCAGCTCCTAGCTTCAACAATCTAACAATCTGGCAGATGGGAGGAAGACCAGATGACAAGTACTAACGCTGGAGTCCAGATCGAGACAGCAGGAGACAACCGAGAAACGATCACTCAACGAGAATGTGACATTTGCACTTGACTTTGAAGTATGACTACGACTTACTAGAAGAGGATAAATGATAGGGGAAAACAGGAGATTTCTCCTTGAACTCCCCAAACAATCCTAGCTCCCTTGAATTCTGCTAACATAATTGTAGGAAAATCTCTTCCCTCTTAGCGAACTAAGAAAAGACAGCAACTTTTCTAATGGCATTTTATTAGGAAACTAGGAAGAGAAATTCCCATGTACAATTATGGATATAAATTAATTTACAGATTTCTGATCCTAAGTTGGACACTGGTTAGAGCTGGACTTGAAGGTCACAGTAGAGGGAGATTCCTACAACCTCGGTTATATTCTATGGCCTTGGCCCTATGTGGGAAAAACGGATCAACATCTGTCAGAGAATGTAGAGTACGGACATGGTGGAATCTCCAGTATCTTGTAGAACTCTATGCTGCAAGCTAGCATCAGCTAGCATCAGCCCCAGCCTTACCAGTACACATGATTCATCTTTCCCAGAAACCCTTATCATATTATCTACCTTTCCTATTAGAAGTAAGCCCTCAACACTTCCTGTTTTAATGCCAGAGCTCTCTTCTGATGTGTGCTCCCTGCCAACTGTCCTCACCAAGAGAAATCTTCAAGTTCCAGCTCATTTGCAGAGATGCCCAATGACTTGATCAAGCCGATCTCAAATGAAGTTACCTTGCGTCTGCTTTACCGTTGTGGTTCAGTAAAGATGCATCCATTTTCCCAGGCTTTATAACGTTATTTGCTCAATGGCATATAGCAAAACATTTACTGGGACATAATACGTTCCAGGTAAGACGTTAGGTACCAAATAGCAACAATAGCTACAATGATACTTCAAATGATTTTCATTAGTGAAAGCTGAAATTATTCTCCTACAATTCATATCCATGTATGCTAATAAACTTTGTAAATCTAAAAGTTATCTGATCTCCTTAATAGGTCAGGCTTCAACTACTGAAATTATAAGCTGTTGGCCCAGGCTACAGTGCCTGTTTTTCCACAGAAAGAGGAGGACAGGGTGGTAGGGTTCCAGCCAGAACACAAATGGCCACTTACCCACAAGTACTTAGAACATGATACCAGCAGAAGAGACTTCAACAATTCTTATAACATGGTTTCTATGGAAGTCTCATTCAGTTTCAGTTCAGTATTTCCAAGCTACATCTGCCCGCCTGCAGTCCTCACGCTATGAATCAAGAGTCTACTTCATATCTTTTCCATGCACCAGGCATTGGGAGTAGGAGAGAATGGAGAGTGTTTGCAACAGCAACAGAGGGAACTAAGGGGTCAAGAGGAAGTCAAATGCGGGTAGCAGAAGGGAAGTTAGCTGTTTTGCAACACAACCTGGAAGAGGAAGAAATAACACCATAGCTGAGGTCCTGCATTGCTACTTGTGACTAGGACCCAGGGAGCTGAGTTGCAGTGGACCGGGGAGGAGGAAGTAAAGTCAAAGCACCCTGCAAATCTCCACTGCGCTCTAGATAAGAGCTATCCAGAGGGCAGGAAACACTGATAATCCTTGTATCTGCAAAGAGGATTGGAGGGATGCTCAGAGAAATGTATGGCATTTCCTGTCAGTTAAGCAGTGTGAAGTATGTTGTCAAAGATTACTCCAGACTTTCCACTTAAAGTCTCAAAATTCCTGAGTCTTGAGAATTCTGAGTACACACTGGCAGGCGGGACCAGCTATGGGGCAGTGGAACCTCCATTAGGAGTTGGGGTGAGGACTTGGCTTGGGCTTGAGGTTGAGGAACCAAGGCTAGGGGCTCTGGAGGGGTGTGAGGAACCTGGGTGTACCTGGAGTTTGCATAGGAATGCAGTTCTGCTCTTCTCCAAGTTGTTCACTCTTTCCTTATGCTCCCACTCTCAAAGTAGCCAAATATCTCTGGGCAAGATAAGGAGGAGGGGCAGTGATCGGGAATTGTGGGGAGAGGATGGCTGAGGAGTGGCAGCATGGAGTTTCTATCTGTTGCTGTCACTTCTTGGCTTTTGATGAAGGCACCATGCAAGGCCATGAGACAGGAGCGGGGAAAGAAAAAAGGGGCTTGGGAGTGGTAAAGAATCACAGCGTAATAGGGTTTTCCCTCTTTCCTCACTGCCCTGCCGTCTTAATTTCCAGTGGCTAATAACCAGTGCTTAGGCAGGCTTGTTGGACTCTTCTGTGGTAGTCTGTTCTGACCTGTTGGTGACTGGGACTTGCAAGGTAAGTAGCTTGTGATGTGGGGAGGAGAGGAGAAAAGAAGACAGGGTCTCAGCAGACTTAGGCTGAGGTTGTTGGAGAATCTATACCTCTGAGCGATGAGCAGAGAGGGGAGAAGAGTCCTGCAGGTGTGTTCTATGCAGACACTGTCCGTGTCCCACCGGAATCCTCTTGCCCACCTGCAGCTTTGGTGGACAGTTGCCATATGTACCAAAAGCCCCTTTGCCTGAGGGCTCTCTCTGGCCATCAGAGTCTGCCTGGTTTGTCAAAGGGCAAGCTAGAAGCACCAAGAGCTAATCTCTCTGGGAGTAATTTTTAATCAATGAGGGGTGGAAACTGGTGGGCAAATATTCCACTTTCCTCACTTTTCACTGGGAGAGTGCTGAGGTGTGTTCCACAGCCACTCAGAGGCTCCTCTGTGACGCTGAGCCCCAGAGGGCCATCATATAAACTCGCAGATGAACATGCCCCGCTGAAGGCTGCATTCCTTCCTTCCCACTTGCACTTCCCCCTTTTCTCACGATGCTTTCTTGTATCACTTCTCAAACTACCTGAACGCAAATCCTTGCCTCAGGGTCTGCTTATGGGGGAATACAAATGAAGACAGGTCTCATCACCAGTAAGAAATTTAAAGACGATCAATCATGTCTCCATATTGGTAAATTTCATACCTCATCACGGCGTCATGCAGCAAGGTATACTTGGCTTTTAACTCTGCCATTCTGGTTCCAGGAAGTTTTCCCATAGCATGTAACTAGCAAAGAGAACATAAGGTCACTATTAATCGCCACCCTCTTTAGGCTTACTCAGGAGATAGAATGGATATATGGATATCTCGTAATATCCTCCATTAAACATTAGAGGATACACATGAGGCAATGTGGTATGCTGGAGACACGTGGGTGTTTGGGGAAAACAGTGCCAGCTCTATTCTACCCCCTGTACATTCTGTGTTCTCAGGCAAGTCTTTTCATCTCCCCAGGCTGTTACTTCTTTGTCTGGAAATTGAGGGAATTGAGTTAAATTCTTCTAATTCTAAAAAAATTTCACGGTTTAGCAAACAATCTGAATAGTGCAGATTATAGGATGGCTATTTGCAAGTTGAGAAAATGAATGATTGTTGAACAGCTACTAGAGTATGTGTTGCCTATCATTTATTTCATTCTTAAAAAATGTTTTGTGAAATAGATATTATCATCTCCATTTGAAACTCAAGTTTAGAAAAGTGATTTGTTCAAGGTTATAGAGCCAGTTAAAGGCAGAGTGTGAATTGAAATGCAAGTGGTTCAGCTCCAAAAACCCATGATCACTTCCCTGTACCATGATGCCTTTCCTCTGCCATCAAAGTAGCATGGAAAGTTTTCCAGTGCATAAAGAGGTACTATTTATTCCCATTTTATTTCTGGTAAAGATAACTTTTGATCTGTTCTTTGAGTTACGTGAGAATTAGTTAACAGACATCATAAAACATCATCCAACACTAAAGGTTTACCATCCTAAAATTGTAATGCAATGAGCATTTGTAGTAGGTTTGACTTTAACTGCTAGTGACAGTATCAAAACAGAGCTAAAGAAAATATTTGTGTTTTTCAACCCTGTTGTTCTTACCTCTATTTGTTTGTTTGTTTATTTATTTAAGACAGAGTCTCACTCTGTCACCCAGGCTGGAGTGTTGCAGTGGTGCAGTCTTGGCTCACTGCAACCTGCACCTCCCAGGTTCAAGCGATTTTCCTGTGTCAGCCTACCAAGTAGCTGGGACCACAGGTGTGTACCATTACGCCTGGCTAATTTTTTGTATTTTTTTTTTTTTGGACGGAGTTTCGCTCTTGTTGCCCAGGCTGGAGAGCAATGGCGCGATCTCGGCTCACCGCAACCTCCGCCTCCTGGGTTCAGGCAATTCTCCTGCCTCAGCCTCCTGAGTAGCTGGGATTATAGGCACGTGCCACCATGCCCAGCTAATGTTTTGTATTTTTAGTAGAAACGGGGTTTCACCATGTTGACCAGGATGGTCTCAATCTCCTGACCTCGTGATCCACCCGCCTCGGCCTCCCAAAGTGCTGGGATTACAGGCTTGAGCCACCGCGCCTGGCCATTTTTTGTATTTTAAGTAGAAATGGGGTTTCACGAAGTTAGGCAGTCTAACATGGTCTTGAACTCCTGATCTTAGGTGATCTGCCTGCCTCAGCCTCCCAAAGTGCTAGGATTAGAGGTGTGAGCCACCACACATGGCCCTTACCTCTAAAGTAGTTATTGAATCCATCCACTTTCCTCTCCCTTCCCTGATCTCACTGGTCCAAGTTTCATCATCTCTCAGCTGGACTATTACAGAACCTCCTAAATACCCTTCTGCCGAGGAGATTTTTCCAGGGAGATCTTTTTAAAAATCAGACAAGTTTATGTTATGCTGGGTGCTCAAAACACTTCAAGTGGAATAAAATTCAAGACCCTTGGTATTCAAGACCTTGAGGTCCTGCCTGACCCTGCCGCCCCCACAGCCTCCTTTCACAACACCCTCTTCAAGCTCCTAGTGCTTCTGCCACACTAGCTGCCTGTGATTTCCACAAATGTGTGAGTCCCTCTTTTTCTCCATGGCCTCTGCGTTAGCCATTCGTCACTCCCCACGCTTCACTCCAACTCTTTCTTCATGCCTCAGCTTAAATATCAGTTCATAAGAAGGCCGTCTCTGACTTCCAAATCTAGGGAAGGTAACCACATATGCTTGCTCCAACTTCTAAAGAACGCTGTGCTTCATAACATTACAATTTGCAATAATAAATTTACTTACATTATTAAAAACACTTTTTATACTTCCCCAGCTAGTATACAAGACCTATGAGGAAAGGGCCCAGGTTACCTTGTTCTTCACTGTATCCTCAGCCAAAGTATTAGTAGAATCATAGGCAGTAGGTAAATTGCTTATATTTGTTAGCAAATGAACGAATGCAATTATCAAAATGCAAAAGTCTGAGTCTACGTAGTGGGGTTTCATGACCTTTGTAATCACATCAGGGTAGAAAAACATTAAATAAATTATAAAACCATCTCTTCTTTGTGAAAAGGCCTGGCTTCCAATCCCTACAGCCCTCATTTAAAAAAAAACCTATGGGTAAAATATGTTAAACAAGATCTTTAAGACCTTTCAGGAGACTCTACCTCTCACTATATCAAACATCTTAAGATTTATTCACATGTCACCTTAAATATAATTGCTTTATAACTTTTTATTTATTTATTTTTAAGACACAGAGTCTCACTCCATTGCCCAGGCTGGAGTGCAGTGGTGCAATCTCTCTGCTCACTGCAACCTCCGCCTTTCAGGTTCTAGCAATTCTCCTGCCTCAGCCTTCCGAGTAGCTGGGACTACAGGCACATGTGGTCATGCCAGGCTAATTTTTTGTATTTTAGTAGAGACAGGGTTTCACTCTGTTGCCCAGGCTGGTCTCAAATTCCTCAGCTCAGGCAGTCCACCCGTTTCGGCCTCCCAAAGTGTTAGGATTACAGGTGTGAGCCACTGTGCCTGGCTTATTTATAACTTTTTATCTGTTGAGTTGCTGTTGGTAAGTTGACTTAATGTTACATTTTACAGATATTTTGGTTCTGCAGTATTTTTTAACTAATATATAATTTATATCACATTTCGAACATTTTCATTGATTTCCCAAAGTGTATATAGACCATAGTCACTATGTCTTTAAAATCTAATAAGTAAAAACAAACAAACAAACAAACAATAAAACCTTTACAAATGGACACTCAAAGGAGAAAAGTTGCTGAGAAAAGATTATGAAAAGGTAAATATGTGAGTGTGTGTTTGTATATACTGTATATGTGCGTACAATGAAGACCAATGAGGGCTAGCCTAGTAACTAGACAACGAGCCAGCTTCTGAAGGTAAACCACTAGGTAAGGTAATTGTGGACTCATATTTAAAAACACAGATAGTATTTAGTTTTGTTCTTAAGTTAAAGAGACTATTATTTCCTACTTACTGCTCCCTGCATGATAAAAACAGAAATAAATATAACATAGGCCCTGCCTTAAGGTAGGTCAAAGTTTGAAGAGATAGATAAAAAAGAAATGACAGAATACTGAAACTACACTCTGTAGTCGTAAGTAATTGATTGTATTTGGCATTTTGCAATGTTTTAATATTGCAAGTGAAAGTAGTGGTCCCCAGCCCCTGGGCTTTAGGAGCTGGGCTGCACAGCAGGAGGTAAGCAGCAGGCAAGCCTGAGTGCCCCCACCTGACAGATCAGCGGTGGCATTAGTTTCTCACAGGAGCACAAACTCTATTATGAAATGCGCATGTGAGGGATCTAGGTTGTACACTCCTTATGAGACTGTAACGCCTGATGATCTAAGGTGGAACAGTTTCATCCCAAAAGCATTCCCTCCGCCCCGTGGAACAACTGACTTTCACAAAACTGGTCATGGTGCCAAAAAGGTTGGGGACCACTGAGTTAAGGCAATAAGTAAAATTATAAATTACAGACCAAATCCAGGGGTGGGTGGGATTTCCAGAATAGTGGGATGAAGAACTTGATGAATTCTCTCCCTCAAAGAGACACTGATTTAACGGGTCAAAATAATCTAAAACAACAATTTAAAGTCTCTGGAAACTGACCTAAGGGTATATAAGAAATTGAGAAACACTTATCCAACAAAATCTACTGAAGCTCAGCAAGAAACTGTGGCATTTGAACCATGGGCTGCATCCATCCCTGTAGCTCCAGGTTTCAGAACTATTCTGGGCAGGCTTGTAGCCCATTTTCCCATTGCTGAAGATCTATTCCAGGTGAAGATCGAGGAAACTGTTGCACTCAACACTCACCCTCCTCTTCTTCCCCAAGGGCAGCTGTAGCTGTTTGGTAGTGCCAGTACTCACTCTCTAGTGTCCTGTTCTACAGGGAGACCCTGGGAAGGGCAAACAAAACAGATCAGAGTTCCCCGTATACCCAGCTCCTGCTCAGTAACACAGAGACTCTAACCAGATCGGGGGCTGAGCACACTGTGAGGACATACAGCTCCGCAGCCCTGCCTTTGAGTTTATTTGGAACAGAGTGTAGAATATTCATGTCCCAGAGCAATGTAAAAAATTAACAGACATAGAAAAATAGAAATCATAAGGGCTAACAGAGTAGGCTAATAGCTTTGTGATCCCAATAGAGGTGGATCAACAGAAGTTTAACAGAGAAAGTGGGACAAGGAACAGTACAAAACTCACACTTGATATTGGTGGTCCAGGAGAGTGTGGAAAAGTCCAGGGCTGTAACCACCCAAGATCAACCGGAAGGGTACTTCCAAGCTGTCAGTCCCTGAGTTACAAGTGGCAGATATATAAACTCCTCGAACTTAAAAAGTTGTTCCCAAGCCACACAGAGACCCAGTGGGAAAGGACGAAAACCTTACCAGCTCAGGGGCCTTAAGCATGACCTCTGACCGATCAGTGACTGACCCAGAGCCAACCCTCAGAAACTCATGTTTAAAAATAACAACTATCTAAGCAGAGACATCAGAGGCTGCCTACTGTGGGGGAAAGATATACTTCACAGTATTAGTCCAGCCAAGTCACTAAACAAATAAATAGATGAACAACAATAACAAGAACAAAACGGCATCAATAAGCCTGGGAAGGATCAGAATCCAGAGCTGTTACAATATATGATCTAAAATATCCAATTTGCAATGAAAAGTTGTGAGACAACAAGAAAGTGTTAGCTCCATCCCACATAGTGAGATCCCCCCTCCAATCCCTTTTTTACACAGGAAAAAAACAGACAAAAACTCTCTTGGGGAGCATGCAGACGTTAGCTTTAACAAAGGCTTCAAAAAATATTAGAAATATGTTTGAAGAATGAAGGAAACCATTTTTAAAAAAGGAGACTATGATGACAATGCGTCAAATAGAGATTATCAATAAGAAGAAATTTTTAAGGAGCTAAACTGAGATTCTTAAGTAGAAAATCATAATTGAAAAATTCACTGGAGGAGTTCAACAGTAGATGCAAGCAAGCAGAAGAATCAGTAAAGTCATAGATCAGTAGAGAAGACGGTAGTGCCCACTTACTCATGGGGGATATGCTCCAAGACCGCAAGAGGATTCCTGAAACTATGGGTAGTCAAACCCATATATACTATGCACAAATTTATTTTCCCTTCTTTACGATTCACAGATAAGATTTGTTCTTACTGTAGATCTTAGCAACATCAGCATGTTTTTTTTTTCTTTCCATATTGACAATTTTCACCTTTTCACTTAAAGAAATCACTTTATGGCTTCTCTTTGGCATATCCAAATTGCCACTATTACTGTTCTTGTGCTTTGGAGCCATTATTAAGTAAAATAAAGGTTACTTGAACAC